GGGGGGGGGGGGGGAAGGTATGGATAATATTTAGAGGAAGAATAGCTGAACTAGAGCTATTGCAGAGGTTACTGCTTAAGTGGAGCATTGCAGTAGGAAATTATTGTGCATAAAATGAGGCCTAGTTTATTTTGACTGTGGGTCATCTAGGTACCGTTTCCTGCAAGAGCAGACATGTGAGCTTGGTTGGATGCTCTGCTCTCTGCAGATTTTTTTTGTTCTTTCTGGTGGTGAGTTTCAAGGTAGAACAAATTCCCTGAAGCGAGATCTGTGTTCTGCCTTGGGCTGAAAAAAATTCCTCCAGACAGATCCAATTTATTATTAAAATGTTCTGTTCTGGCCTGCCTCCTTACACCCCTGATTCTAGCATGAGCTCTTGGATTTTTCTTGGCTGCTACCGAGAATGCTTTTGTTTTTAACTTTCTAGGAAACAGAGGGCTTCTATTTGAAGTCTGGGATGATGCCTCTGATCTGACAGAAACGGGTCCTGGATATAGATGGCAGTTTGTACCTAATGCCAGTTCCCCAGTAAGATTTCTGTCCAGGACAAAGAAGTCCTTCAGGTACTTAGTAATCTTAAAAAGAGATGAAGCCATGGCAATCACCTTTAGCAGTGGAAGGTGTAGCAATAACCCCTGACAGCTCTCTATAGCAGAGCCTTACTGCATAGCTCCTGTAAATCAAAGCAACCGTCTGCTCCGAGGTCCTTTTGAAGCTCAAAATATGCAGTGAAGTGTTTTATTTTTCCTCCTTTTCCTTTCACTCAGTATTTCTGCTCTACCTGGCCTAGAAGTGCTTGACATACCACAAAAAAAAAATTGCTGTGGAGGTAGAAGGAGCTCCAGTTAGAGGCTGTCTTGAGCTGGAGCTCCAGCCAGATGTGGAGGGCCAGATCCTCAGCTGATGTTGGCATCTGCAGCACTGGTGGAGTTAATAGAAATAAACTGACTTGCCCCAAGCTGCAAAAATCTCTGAACTGTGTTGGTGCCCATTGTCTCGTCAGATACACCCTTGAAAAGCTGTTTAAATGCACGAATGTTTTCATTTTTCTACCACTTCTCTGTTTTTCTGTTGATCTTGTGCGTGTTTTTGAACATTTTTCCTCCCTGTTCAGGGTTATGGCTTTGCTTGAAAAGAAATCAAGAAAAACGTGACCAACAAAACCACACTTATTTTTGGAGCTGATTTTTTTTTTCCTTTTTAAAAATGTCTGTAAAGCTTAAATGACATTTATGTGAAAATGGGTCATTTTGAGGTTCCTTCAGTTTTAAAATCTCTGGTTTGTTATAACTTGCTCTCACAGTCTTCCCTTTTTACTCATTGTACATGTGAACGTGGGGTGTGGGTCTGGGACTTTTTTTGCAGTAACTCTTTTGTATATTACAGATGTTCTGTTTTTACTTAGCTCCAGGCTTCGTGGATTTTTTGTGGCTCCTCAGACCAACAATTACACCTTCTGGATTCAGGCAGATGGTCAGGCAACTCTCTACTTAAGTTTGTCTCAAGATCCAGAACGTAAGGTATTACTCTTGGCAGAGGAAAAATGAGATCAGGATAGGAAAGGGTTTTAATTGAGGTCATAAGTGGGAATTTCCCCAGTGTGAATTGATTTATTGGCCCTTACTATGAATCTGTTGGAGAGTGAGATCTGTATGATTATATTTGACATTTTACATTGGCCCTATCAGCTGCTCAGCTCATGAAAATCTCACTCTTGCAACCAGAGTCTTTGAATGCCCTTTCCACGTGACCTTTTTGTTAGTTCAGCACATCACCATCACTAACAATCTGTGCAAGGGGACCTGGAGACTCGTTGTCTGACTTCCTCAGTTTACCTCCTTTTTTTGCCTGTTGAAATTTTGCCCCCTGAAAACATTAGTACTTCCCTTTGTAAGGCTGAGAGCGTGTTAGAAATGAAGGTGACCTATTTCTCTGGGCTATTAGCTAGTAACTGAACTGGGCTAGAATATAAAGGATTTCTTAGCCATAAAACAAAAGTAGCATTGCTGGTCTTACTAATGATAACATAATACATCTCAGAAGGCTGTAGATATAGTTCTTTCTTTTGTATTTGGAGGATGAGAGATGTAGAACGGAAATTATCCATGAAAAGTCACATGGGGAACTGGTATTAGGGCTAGGGTCAGCCATAAGAATAATCTTTATGGTATTGAACCCAAAACTAAAGCTTTTTAAGATGATCCTTTTTCCTGTCTGCTAGGAAGGAATGTGTCAACCATCAACTCACTGCTATTGGTTACAAGCACAAATCTGTATTTTTGGAGTTGTGGTATTGGACAAAGTGTCTTTTGGGGCTGGAGAAATGTCTCTAACTGCTTGGTTTGGTTGTTCTGGACACAGGTGAGAGTAGCTTCTCTCCCTGCTGGCAATTTGGAGTGGTCTGAAAACTGGGTGAAGAGCTGGAGTGAGCACTGGCAGCCAAAATCCCAGAAATTTGAACTAACTGCTGGTTCAAGGTACTACCTGGAAGCAGTGCATCATGGAAAGGCACCCAGCAATGGGATGAGAGTTGGAGTCCAGATACATAACACGTGGTTAAATCCCCACGTGGTGAACAACTACTACATTGAGAGACATGAAATTCGGGCTCACGCCTTGCATCTTCCAGAGGTGCAGGTCAGTGCTGTGTGCTTAACCCTGGGAGCTGGATTAACCCTGGTTCACTTGATATAGATGGCAGAAAATCTTAATCATAAAGGCCCTGTCGGTGTTAGACAGGAAAGTCTGTTCCCACCTCGTTTTTAGCCTGAGATAGTTGACGAGAATAGCATCAGGGGCTGAAGGCGTTTGTGTTTTTTCCACAGATTGGTAGTCGTATGTAAATCCTGTGGTTGCATTAAAATTTGTGTTAAAGTGTAAGCAATGCTGACTCCCTTCAGCTGTTATCTCATGAAGGCCTCACCTTGTTAATTTTTTTTTTTTTTTTTTTTTTTTTTTTTTTTTTTTTTTGTTGTTGTTGTTGTTGTTGTTTTTTTTTCTTTTTTTTTTCCTCCCCTTAGTGACAGCACGCTCAGTGTGTGCTATCTGGTCAACCCTATACTGCAAACAGATGATAGAAACTTGCAGCTTGATGAAGGTTGCTCAGGAATAACGGAACGTTTTCCTGGTGGTTAAACCCCGCGGCTGCAGGCCAGGAGCTTTAGGAACCATTTGTGGCTGTCAGAGTGTCTGCACAGGTCAGGCATCCCTTGTGCTGCCTTTAATCTTTAGAACAGGAGCCCAAGGCTTGTGTCAGGAGAGACCATGGAGGGCAAGAGCAGTTTAAGAGTAGCTGAAGGGACTCTTGATTGTTAGAGTCTTCAAAAGGCAAAATGCTGGCTGTAAAATCCTCCTCAGTAGAAGATAATTTGAAGTCTGTGTGTCTCATGCAGTTTGTATCTGTGTTCATGTATTTATTTCCTTCTTTGCTTGCCAGATGCTGACTGTGTCTGGTACAGGGTGTTTCAGTATCTCCTGGAGTAACACGCTGAGCAGGATGATCCCCACAAATGCTACAGCACGCCAGGTAGGCATCACTAAACTCACACACCCAGCCCTCTGCTGAGGTGTAAGTGATGGAGATCTGACAGTTGACAGCAGTTAAGCATTTGGCCCAGAAGCTGACATAAATTTTCACATGATGTAGGAGTGATTTTTGTCACCGGGAGTGTCCCGCAGTGGGATTCTTTGGGGGGGCTGACTCCCAGGTGTATTCTAAGCCTATCACAGCATCTGATCTTGGCGGGTCATGTCCGCAGTGAAGTATGTGGTATCCTCAGCTACCAGACCCTTGGACTTCTCTAAGAACAGATGTGTAGTGTCTGGCTCTTGCTTCAGACAGAAGCTCCATTCTGGCTTCTTTAAAATCCCAAAGTCTCTTGGTGTGGTAGTTGGTCACTGTTTAAACTACTCCGGGTGGTAACTCCATGATATCACTAGACATTGAGTCAACACAGCCGGTGGAGCCTGGAGGGACATGAAGATGCCCAGGCTGTGACATAGATATAGCTCATGTAAGAAACCTGCACCTTTCTGAGGAGGTTGCTGGACACCTAAAGGATGTTTCACACCCCTGAAGGGTATCCGACACGGAATTTTACATTCTGCGTTGAGCTGAATTTTATTCTCTACCATTTGGCCACCTGCTTGTTCAGAGCTGCCTTGCCACCACTCCCTAGCTGATGAAAAATGTAGTGATGTGTGTGTTGAAGCTCTCTGCTGAAACGTTCCAGACACAATTGTACTGTGACTGCTTTTCACTTTCTTAATTTTTTTTTTTTTTTTTTTAAAGGTGCAAACAGCAATAGAAGAGCTTCTGTCAATAGAATGTGACACCGAGCCAACTTCTGCTAAAATCCTTTTACATGATGGCTTTGAGAAAGAAGGTAGTGATCTTCTGTGACAAATAAGCAGTATTCACTGTGAGAGTTGATTTCCTTTTATGAAATAAATGTACTTTCAACCTTCAATTACAGTAAATTTACACTTTTAATGGGTTTAGGTACATACATTTCTGTTTCTCAGCTATTCATTATTTTTATGTATTGTGATGGGGGAGTTCATAGAACGAATATTAAACCCAACATGATTAATATAATGAGAGATTCTTTCTGTAATACATTGTATAATTCAGTTGTATTGCAACACTTACCAAAGAAGGTGATATGTTTTGCTTGTTAGAACCGTTAAGAGACGAAAAATGCAAGTCCTGGGGCATGTGAAATTATTCATGTTTCACTATGCCTGCTGGGGAAGCAAATCTGGCATAGCTCATAGTTACAGCTCAGGCTGTGGAAGCAGCTGATTCTGACTCTGGAGATCTTCACTTCTAGTGTTTCTTGATGACTGAAAGTGAAACAGTGCAAATTTCTGTGGTATACTTGACTGGTCAGGGAAGGTGTGAAACATCAATCACTTTTGTAAAAAAAAAAAAATAAAATTATCGATAATAGTTTTGTAACATTGAAGATATGGCACACATAAGAAAGCTACTCTAGTAGAAAATAACTCCAGTAACACTGGCACAGGTTGCCCAGAGAGGAGGTGGATGCCCCATCCCTGGAAGGGTTCAAGGTCAGGTTGGACGGGGCTCTGAGCAGCCTGATGTAGGTGAAGATGTCCCTGCTCACTGCAAGGGGTTGGACTAGATGGCCTTTAAAGGTCCCTTCCAACCTAAACTATTCTATGATTTTTTTTATCCGACAGCAATTATAGTATACGTATTCTATGCCAAAATGTAGGTGATTGTCTAGACACCTCGTATCACATTCTTGTATTCAGTATGGAGAGAGAGAACAGGTCCCAGCCAGTGATATGTCTGGTAAATGATTCCTCCAAGTGCAGGAAAGAAATCAATTAATTGGGGGGTAAGGGAAGCTTCATGCAGAAAAACAAAAATAGCAACAGAATATTCTTAATGTGATCCCAAATCTACAATTCTACCAACAAAAAAAAAAAAAAAAGAAAAACCTGAGCTAAAAGCCAGTGATAATTCAATGCTACAGTGGGAATAAAAATTAATGTGCAACAAATAGTTTTCACTGATGATTGTAAAATGTAGGTAGTGTTAAAAGACAGCAGAACAGTGGTGAAATTGTGGTGAAGGGATGTCAGGAAAATAAAAGACCAGCCACACACATTCAGACCCAGGGTCCATGTAGTCTAGTGTCCTGTCTTCAGCAGAAAACAAAATAGATGCCTAGGGAAGGGTAAAAAAAATGGATGATTATGCACAAGCATTAATTCTCTCCAAATATGAAGTATTTTCCGTTCAATTTAATTTCCTGAGTGAGGTATGTTTTTAAATTTAATTACGTTCAGTGTTTCTCCCTTCCCTGTATTTACATAATGGTCCCTTGAACACAGCTAAACTACTACGTTCATAATTTTGTTCTAGCGAAGGTTTCAACAGGTCCAACACTCATGCAAAGAACCACAACTTCCCTTTTTTTTTTTTTTTTTTAATTATTTTAAACTCTGCTATTAATTTTGTTTTGCAAGTTTTATTTCTCTTACTGGAAGAAAAAGTGAATTGTCAGTATGTAGTGACAGAAGAAAGTCTTTTATGTACTAGGAAGAAATCCTAGCGGTTTTTCAGCAGCGTGGCTGGTAGACCAGTGGAACAAAGATCCCAAAGCAGAAGGTGGATTCACGGTTGCTTTATACATCAAATTCCAGCTTTGCCTGAGTGCTTTCTGGAAAGGGATTTGGTCAGATGTACTCTATATGGCTAAAAGCAGTTGTTATTTGCTGTAAGGTTTTATGGTCAGAACAATAATGGTCCCTTCTGTCTTTGAGCAATCTTAAACTGGGGAACAGTTGTCCTGCAGATGTTTATCATTTATCTGGGCAGCAGATAAGAGTAGGACTGCTTGACAAATTCTGGACACCTACCTCCTATATTTTCATTAATCTCTTGACCATACTGGTTTCTTCTGATTTATTTTTAAGCCTCTCATCCCCTCTTGTTTTTTTTTCCTGTCAGATATGAAATACATCATTACCACAGGACACGTCGTCAGTAGAACGGAGCCTTTCTGTGGGAGATTCAGTGTTCACAGACCAAGCCAGCTGGTGAAAACTTCCCCATCAACTCTACCAAGATATGATCTTACTGAATACACGCATGTAAGTGGCTGCTCTCGATGAGCAGGTTACAGTGGGGACTCAATACTCAGAGCCCAATCAGCAACATAAAATCATCTGGTCTGCTTAGACTTCCTCCAGATCCACAGAAGGTCATATCTTTGGACTGTGCTTGTGAACAGAGCAGCGGGTCTTCTACTGACTGGGTGGATAGTTTGAGATCCCTGAGATGCAGATACTGCTTAGCACATCTGGCTGCTATCTGCTTCTGGGGGTGCAAGACTTGCTGAGGGAAAGGAAAAGGTGGGATAATGTTGGGAAAAGATGGAGGTGCAGGGATGATTGCTTCTTGATTAAAAAAACCCCAACAAACCCAACATGTTAACCAGGAGTCCACTCTCACTCTTCTGCTCTACACCTATTTTTAATAGGAATAAGGTCTTGATTTCTGTGACCCTTTCCTTGCCACATGGAAGAAGGCAAATAGTTGGGGATTGAAAAGAAGGAGACAGAGGGGAAAGACTCATACCCAAAGCCTCCTGCAGTCCTCCTGGACAACTTCAGTTCCCCTTTACAGACCTGCTTGAGTCCTGTTTCCCCATCTGACACCCATCCCAAACCTTCTACCTCGCAAATCAAATCAGCTCCTCCAGTCGTCTTTTCCTCCCTCCCATATGCTTGAAATCCCCACTGGTACTTCCCAGCTGTGTTTTGCCCCCAAATCTCGCTGAAACCTACGGGCTCAGTTTCAGGCTATGTGGTGGCTAGTGCACCATCTCCTCTAGGTATTATTCAAGGCAACTTGGCTTTAATGGGTGGGCTTTATTGATGACCTTGAGCAAAATATTTCCCTATTGATGTTAAACAAATATTATATCTTCTACAGACATGACGCATAAATTATCTGTTTTGATTTGTGATTTATTTTTTCCCCCCCATTTTTTGCAGGTATGTTTCGCACATAAAGGCCATATGAGCAATATCCTTCATATCTTGGTGTCTTATACCAATGTCTCTTTATGTTCAGTGAAGAGGAACCTCATCTGCCTATGGGATTTCAACAAAACTGACTCTAAAAGGTATCCAGACACTTGTAGTTTTCAGAAATTACATTTTCCATTGTAAGAATGTATACTAGGAAATTCTAACTTGTATAGGAACAAATTGTCAGTTGGGGTAAGCTGACACCTGCTCTGTCCTGCAGAAGCATCCCCAGAGGTGTTTCCGTACTTTTTGAGGATTTACTGAGTAAATTTACATGTTTCTTGTTATATACACTATCTCACCTTAGTAATATATAGATGGAGAGTTTATTCTGTCTCTGGTAAGCACGCCAAAAGGTTTCTGAGGACATTTCCCAGGTTCTTTGGCAAGAGTCAGCAGATTTCCTGCAGTGAGACAGATGAATTAATTATTATTATTATTATTATTATTATTATTATTTTTTTTAATCCCCAGGAACCTCATGAAATCATTGATAGAAAAAGTTTTCAAATTGGTGTAGTCTTTAATTTTCTTTATTCACTTAGATTTACATAGGTAGAAAACATTTGGTGTTAGGTGTAAAGCTTGGGGCAAGCAGACTTAAAAAATCAGGAGTCTCTGAAGAGCTTTGGGAGATGAAGTAGCTTGGGTGTCTGTAAGGCTGTGTGAGGGGTGGGTGCCTGCCTGGAATAAGGTCTTGGGATTAAATTATTAAATGATGGAGAGAGCTGGGAGCCTTCAGCAATCATCTGGTATTCCCAAGGGGTCTGACCTCTGGGCTGATCCCTGCTGAGGTCACTGATGCTATCGTGGTGTTTTTGCCAAAAATAGAACAGCAGTAGTCATTCCCACATCCCACTATTGTGACACAGAGGAGGATACCTAAACAGAGGTCTAAAGCTTTATTTCTCACTATGGGGAATGCAACAGAGACAGGTAGAGAGTGATCACAAACCACTGAGCAAGCGTCTTGTGCGTGAGTGATAGCAGCAGTACCTGATGTTACCTGGAAGCTTCACTCAAAAGTCAGTTACTGCAACTACCTCGCAGCAAAAGAGAGCTTGCACAACCCTGGTGTCTTCCAGCTGGACATTTACCTGCACTGACCTCTGGAAGGGGTGTGTGAATCGCTCCATGCTTCTCCAGGACCTCCCTGCCCATTCCCCAGTGTTTGTGCATCGGATAGACTTGCTGCGCCCTGTGCTGCAAAAGGAAACCTCTGGGTCATTTTACCTTGATGAAGTCATCATCGCAGACAGAGCTGTGACTGGTAAAGGAGTCTGGTTTTTTTTTTT